GGATGTTGTATGTCTCTCTCTCTCTCTCTCTCTCTCTCTCTCTCTCTCTCTTTCTCTCTCTCTTTCTCTGTGTGTTTCAGGGAGAGAGAGAGGGAGAGAAGGGAAGAGAGAGACACACAGAGAGAAATCTTACTTAAGGGTGCTTGTATGAACACAGGTGAGGAATGTTTACCGAAGCATGGGGCAACCCACCAGTTAATTTTACCACAGAGGATGACAGGGCTGTCATTCACCATTAACTTCAAGTAGTTCCTCTAGGAAGGGTGGACCTTCCTGAGCTTCTCCCTTCCCCGTGGCTCAATATTTTCTGAAAATTGAGCACTCTCTGAGCTGGAGCCAGCTAACTTTAGGACTGTAAAATAGGAGCAGTATGGTACAAATCCATCTGTTATGAGTGGGAGCCACACTGATATCATTTTCTAAAGACTTACAAAAGAAGGAAGGAAAATAGCACTCACAGGGGTCTTGGGTGTATTTGACAACAACCCAGTGGTGAATTTATTTATTGCTCATTTATTTTTAGATCCACCTTCAGGTTAAGACATCTTGTCTTTTTGGGAAAAGACATGAAGAAAATGTTCCAAATAGGTAAGTTCAGAACTTTCCTATCCCTCCTCCCATTACAGACATTTGATTTGGATTCAAATTCTCAGTTCCAAATATTGTAAAGCAAGATACTACTCTCAAGGAAAGACACCCAGGAATGAAGAGAGGATGGTAAGACTGGGACCTTATTGTAGCCTTGTACAGTGACTATGTACGACTCATTTCCACTGAATACATGGTTGAGATAGGTATAGGGTCTTGCCCAAACAAATAGAAAATGTAATGGATAATTTCTGCTTTGGTCACAAACTGTGAATGTTTGCATATTAAATATTGGCCACTGTAGGAGTCCTTACCCAGTTATCTTTTAAGTGTGCATAGTTACAAAAAGTGCACAATCTCTGCTGTACCAGGAACCAGTATTGAGCAGGAAGGGGCATTTGTAGGTCATCCGTGACATAAGGGCTTCCAAAGGAAAAACAAAACAATGAAAACAGGAGTTAGAAAGCAGTGTAGAGGCCTAAAGGTCACTATCCCTGGGCTTTAATTCCAGCCTCAACACAACATTTCAGTAATTAATGGCCTTGGTGTAAAAACCTAATAGATTTAACAGTCTACTAAAAAGCTATAACTTTGTTTTTAAACATTTTTTAAAAATTAAATATATTTTACTATTCTTACACATCAATCCCAGTTCCCTCTCCCTCCCTCCCATGCCTCCGATCCCCCCTCATCCCATTCCCCACCCTCTCCACAGGGAGGGTGAGGCCTTCCAGGAGAGATCATCAAAATCTATCATTTGGAGTAGGTCTAGGCTTTCCCTCCTGTCTCCAGGCTAAGGGAGTATCCTTCCATGGGAAAGTGCTCCCAAAGTCCTTTCGTGCACCAGGGATAGATTCTGGTTCCACTGTTAGAGGTCCTTCGTCTGTCCAGGCTTTCTAACTGAGACTTTACATTCAGAGGGTCTTAGTCGGTTCCTAGCTATCAGTCAGGGGGTCCATGAGCTCCCCCTTGTTCAGGTCAGCTGTCTTTGTGGGTTTCTGTAGCCTGGTCTTGACCCCATTTCTTATAACTTCTCCCTCTCTGCAATTGGATTTCAGGAGTTTGGCTCAGAGTTTAGCTGTGAGTGTCGGCTTCTGTTTCCAACAGTTACTACAAAGCAATCTACAGATTCAATGCAATCCCCATCAAAATCCCAGCACAGTTCTTCACTGATAAAACAAAAGACCCAGGATAACCAAAACAACCATGCACAATAAAGGAACTTCTGGAGGCATCCCTGACTTCAAACTCTACTATAGAGCTATAGTCCTGAAAACAGCTTGGTATTGGCACAAAAATAGGTAGACCAATGGAATTGAATAAAAAAATCCTGATATTAACTCACATACCTACAAACACCTGATTTTTTGACAAAACAGCTAAAATTATGCAATGGAAGGAGGAAAGCATCTTCAACAAATGGTGCTGGCACAACTTGATGATGGTGTGTAGAAGACTGAAGATAGACCCATATCTATCGCCATGCACAAAACTTAAGTCCAAATGGATCAAATATCTCAACAAAATCCAGCCACACAGTACTTCTTAGAAGAGAAAGTGGGTGGTAACCTTGCACGAATTGGTACAGGAGACTGCTCCCTGAACCTAACACCAGAAATACAGACACTGAGATCGACAATTAATAAATAGGACCTCCTAAAACTGCGAAGCTTCTGTAAGGCAAAGAACACAGTTGAGAAGACCAAACGGCAGCCCATACACTGGGAAAATATCTTCACCAACCCCACATCTGACAGAGGGCTGATCTCCAAAATATATAAAGAACAGAAGAAGCTAGTCACCAAAACACCAAATAACCCTATTAAAAAGTGGGGTGCAGAACTGAATAGAGAATTCACAATAGAGGAATCCAAAATGTCTGAAGAATACTTAAAAAAGTACTCAACATCCTTAGCCATCAGGGAAATGCAAATCAAAACAACTCTGAGATACCATCTTACTCCTGCCAGAATAGCTAAAAATTAGAAACATCAATGACGACTCATGCTGGAGAGGATGTGAAGAAAGGGAAACACTCCTCCATTGCTGGTGGGAATGCAAACTTGTACAGCTATTTTGGAGAATAGTATGGTGGTTCCTCAGGAAAATGGGAATTAATCTACCACAGGACCCAACAGTTTCACTCTTAGGCATATACCAAATGATCCACATCCATGCAATAAAGACATCTATTCAACTATGTTCATTGCAGCATTATTTGCAATAGCAAGAACCTGGAAGTAACCTATATGCTCCTCAACTGAAGAATGGACAAAGAAGATGTGGCACATTTACACAATGAAATACTACTCAGCAGAAAAATAAAACAATGGAATCTTGAAATTCTTAGGCAAGTGGATGAAACTGGAAGAAATCATCTTGAATGAGCTAACCCAGTCACAAAAGAGGAACATTGTATGTACTCACTCATATATAGATTTTAGTCACAGAAGGGGAAAGGAACAAGATCTCCTGAGCATATTGGGAGTGGGAGAAGGGGGGAGGGAGTTAGGAGAAAGAGAAGGGGAAGAGAGGAAAGCATGTGAGACCAGGAAGATTGAGTCGGGGAATGAATAGATGAGAGCAACAAAAGAGATACCATAATAGAGGGAGCCATTATAGGTTTGAAGAGAAAACCCACTCTAGAGAAATGTTCAGAAATCTACAAGGATGAACCCAACTAACAATCTGAGCAAAAGTGGAGAGGCTACCTTAAATGCCCTTCCCTGATAATGACTAACTTATATGCCGTCAAAACTATAGCTTTTTATAGCTTTAAGATGGCTGTATTATTGTTGTTCAACAGCATCAGACCTGCTCAAAATTCTCCATTGAGGGTTAATAAGTTCATGGATACAAAAATTATTCTCAGTTAAGAAAAATCTCTTCCAGAAATTGTGTTGGAGTAATTTGCTGAAGAGATGTTTTTAAAATCTCTCCAAATTGAATTAACGGGTTACCAGGAGCTAATGAAATCTGATTACTTTTATTTAAGGGTTTTATTTGATTATAAATTACACACGCGTGTGTGTGTGTGTGTGTGTGTGTGTGTGTGTGTGTGTGTGTATGTGTGTATACACAAGTACAGTGCACAGATTCTGGAAGAGGTGACAGATAACCCTGGAGCTGGTGCTAAGGGTTTGTTTGTGACATGATAGATGTGGGAGCTAAGAAACAAACTCAGGTCCTCTGGAAGAGCAGTCAATGCCCTTAACCACTGAACCATCCCTCCCTCTCCTGACTGATATTATTTCACAGTGTCAGCGAGTCACCTTGGAACAGGAGTTCCACAAACTCATTAACTAGCACAGTGCACTAAAGCATAACTAAGAAAACAGTGTTTTCAGGTCATTTTGTCAAACTTTAATCTGGGAACTTCCTGGCTATATGAATCTGGAAAATCATTTAACATATTTGTATCTAAGTTTCTGTTATTAAGTTGATGTGGTGTTCATGCTGCATGCACAGAGTCAATGATGAGGATTCAAGTGCCCTGGGCTCTCAGATGCTGTGAGTGGCACAGTGGTTATTGTCATCAGCAAGGATGGGGTCATATTCATACCAAAATGCTGAGGCCATACACAATTTATGTTCAGCAAATTTTCTAATCTTTTTGTCTTAATTCCAAATTACTTCTGGAGTTATAAACTTACTGCTTAAACCAGTTGGCTGTTTTTGTTTTTAAAGCTTCAACTTCTACCTTCTATGTCATTTATTACTGAATTGTTTTCAAACTTAGTAGATTTTTTTTTAATTTGACTTTCTGAACTCTAATCTTCTAATAACCCAGAGTTTCAGCCTCCTCTCTCTCTCTTTCTCTTCCTCCCCCATCCCCATCCCCACCCCTGTCTGGCAGTACTGGGGATTCATCTCAGGACTTTGTGATTGCTAGGTAAGTACTTTACCACTGGGCTCTATCCGCGGCCCTCTTTTATATTGAGATGGTCTCACCTAGTTTTTAATGGCTGGCCTTGAGCTCACTGAGTAGTGTTAGGCAAGCCTTGAACTTACAGTTTCTCTTCCTTATTCTCCTGAGTAGCTGGTTTTATGTGACTACCATAAGACCCAGCTAGGGTCTTTTGGATTGTTCAGAAGGTCAAAGGATTGTTCAGAAGGTCAAAGGCAATCTGTGTACATAAGCAATTTCCATAGATATTGTGTGCCAGTATTGGTGTGATGCTTTTTTTGGCAACATGTCCTTCCTCTTAGGAAGTAGAAAGGATGAACAGCCAAGACCCACTCATGGCTTTGTAACGTTTGTCACTTTCTTGGCCTAAATTTTGGCCTCTGGTAGGGCCTGCAATAGAGGTTAAGATGGATTGATATGCAGTAGACACATAGCTAAATAAGAAGTCATGAATTTCAAGGTTTGTAGATAAGAAATGATACATTTTAGTCAAAAGCTGTTGAATTTACTCCAGGAGAGAACGTGTGTTTTGTACTGACCTGGGAACCACACATTGCAGTGGAAGTTCAGCAGAAATATGAAAAAGCCTGGGTTTATAGGTGAGCCAGGTATAAAAGACAGTTCTATCATATGCTGTCTGTTGAGATAAGAGATCTTTTAAGTATACACACGGTTTGTCACAACACATTTTAATATATTCAAATAACAAACTGAAAGATGAATAATTTGCCACTCTACCACCCCAAGAAATAAAGATATGCCACTGAGTTAATGTGCTTTAAGTTCTGTCTGCAATGCAAATGCTCAGAAAATAAAGCAATACTTGACATACAATTTGTGAATGAGATTGCCAAGAAGCAGGTACATTATTCCTGGAGTTTTCCCACTAGCTTTTTCAAGTCAAAGTTCTAGGAACTATTTCTTTTTCACTTAGATGGCAACTTGCTCTATGAGGATTTAAAAGATGAAGAAACTATTTGAAGGAGTCTGAGAGACTCTTCCTGATATTTCTAAATTCACAGTATTTGACTTTTACTTTGAATTTATGGTTTCTGAAAGCACATCAGAAGGAAGAGTGTTAGCTAAAAAATGATGTATTTGTACTGACAAATTGGATTTCCTGAACATTAAATGCATATTCATTTCTTAAGTTTCAAATTCTATAGTTTTATCATAACTGGTTTCAAGTTCTGTAACAATTTGATCCTCCATTATTTATGCTTTTGGGATCATATTAGAAATGATGCAATATTCCAGTAACTAGAGAGGTTCCAGAGTCAGTAACTTGTTGAATAAATATTAGGATAGATGATCCATGTGGTTCCCAAGCTCTGAAAGATTTATTTTATCCATCTTTCAAATCCAGAGGTCAGACAGACATAGACACTATTAAAACTATGAAATGGCCTCATGATGATTGGTAGAGTTTAGGCTGTATCAGTTTTAGAGGAAGTCTGCCACAAGCAAGGAGGAAAGAGAGAAAATGAGTGTGGGTATTTTATTTAGGGTTTCTCAGCCATGACACTTGACTTTAGATTAGGTAGTTCTCTGTTATGTGGGGAGGGGCCTGTGCCTGCAGTCACTAACACCTGCTCCTCTCCTTCTCTTAGTAGTTGCCGCTTCTCTCTGGAGGGAGTCATTAATATTGTCTCCTCATATTGCCCAATGTTCCCCCCATAGAGAGGATCATTCCCACTTGATAACTATGGGCTTACACTTCTGTGAAGGGCTCTATATTTGACACTTGCTTCTAGCTGCAACAAATCCTCAAAATGACTTTGGATTTCTTTTGATGGGTACATGGGAACAAATCTGAGTTTCTGGCATTTTGCTGTGGTTAGGCACAGGCTTGAGTATCATTGCATGATACTATGAGAGGCAGAGAAGACTGAAGGATTTTCATGTCAATCTGTTTGAGTTATTCCATGTTCATGCCATGAAGTTTAGGTTCCTAGAAGAACATACTTATTTCAATGACTACAGCAATGTAAGTTAAGACAAGATGAATGGAATGTTTTGTATTTACCTTGGATGTGCTTGAAAATTCCTACACCAAACTCTTTCAGTTTTCCTCATAGATGCTGAAGTACTATTGCTTTCAGTTTTACATACATACATAACACATACATATATATTAATTAGAAATGAACAAATTAAGTCTACTTCTAGTTCATGACCATTCCAGATCATTCTTGCTTCTTAACTTCCTGGGAAAGTTTTAAATCAAAAGACTGCACCTCTGTGTTTACTCATTTGGATGCTGAGCCACTACTATTTTAAGGCATGAGCCCGGAGCATCACACTAAGGAGGAGGATCACAGGTTACAGGAATAAACTGTAGTTTAGTGATGGAGAAAGATCTGTAAGTCAAAGAGAATAGAATACTTCACTAGGGATATCTTGTTTGGGTTTATTATTATTATTATCATCATTATTATTAATTTCATTCTGTTCATTTCAGAGTCATTACAGTACTAAAGCATCAGGCTTAGACTAGGCATCAGCAAGCCTTGTCTCTGACCCTTGCTTTGCTATATGCGAACTTCATGTGTCTGATTACATAACTGGCTTTTATGCCTTAATTCCTCACTTTATTAGAAGCATAATTGATCCTGTAGGATTAGGTGTATAAATGTGCATGTGAAATTAATATGTGTGCCATGCTAATAGAACATTAATCAATTAATCCATCAAGTAAAATCTATATTTTCTTATTAATGCCAAGCATCCTATATGCAATGAGTCTGGTGAATGAGTAGAAATGACTTAGGCTAAGGCACTAGGTTGGCAATACCAGTGTTACACATGTATTGAAACAAGTACAGGAAACAACACTTGAAAAGTCTTTACAGGTGGTGCCAGGTAAAACGATTCCTTCTCTTACCTCTGTAACAATCCCACACAAACTGACAGAATAATTAAACTCAAGTTCATCTGGTCGGATCTGAGTTACCACACAGCCTGTTCCTAGGAATAATTCAGTAGGGCCTACACGTTCATCTGGATAAAACAGTGCCCTTTTAGCTTTAACACGGAGATTAAGATAACTGCATTCCACTGATACTGTTGAAAGAGAAAAAAAGTCAATCAGCTGCTCCACCTCAGTACATGGCATGAAAGAAGACCCGATTCAACTAAAAGAGGTTAGGGATGTAAGCAAGAATGGTTCCTTTCATAATGTGACTCCATTACTCTTTCTTGCCATTGACACCATTGAATCAACTTGCAAAGCCCCAGAAGTTCTGTCTGAAATTAACTGTGCCAGCTATTTGGAAAGGAAGAAGAGGTATGTACTTACATCAGGGTGCTATAATGGGTACCACGCTCCCAAATCTTGGTGTCTCTGTGCAACTTATGCTGTGTGTGTGTGTGTGTGTGTGTGTGTGTGTGTCCATGCAAGTACACTCACACACACACACACACACACACACACACACACAGAGGCCAGTGGTAGATGTTGTGTATTTTTTCTCAGTTGCTTCCCACCTTATTTTTTAAGGCAGGTTTTCCCACTCAACCCAGAGTTTTGCCAATTTTGCTAGAGTAGCTAGCCAACAAGCCTGGCGATCTGTCTGTCTCTTCCTCTGCAGCACTGGGATCACAGCTTTTTCCATGGGTGCTGGAGATCTGAGCACAGACCTTCATACTCCCATGGAAAACACTTTACTCATTGAACCATCTCCATGGCCCATACGTTTTCATTTTCAGTCCATGGCTACGTGCCAAATAGTAGCAGCCATATAGTTCCTATGGAGAGAAGATGTGAGTCTTTTAAGGTCCAAGAATTAATAAAGGGCTGGGACTGAACATTATGCTCTTTGGACCCACTACACACTGCATTACCCTGGAGATGAGAATGTTCAGTTCATGCCTCTGCTGGACTTGCATCCAAGTTTTAGGATCAGATCTCTCCATAGCTATCAGAGGGTATTTAAGCAGTCCCCCTCAGCATGCACGTGTTCTGTGTGGAACTCATAGTATTGACTTCACTTCTGTTTGTGTTTCCTCATCCCAGTCATCAGCACCTCACTCATCCACCACTGAAGCCCACAGACCTTAGATCTAAGCCCAGGTCCCACTTCCCTTCCTCCCCAAAGTCTTCCATTGAGTCTTTTCACTTTTGCTTTCAAAATTCATCTCCTATCTACTCCTGCATGGCTGTACCCTGGGTTCCATCACTATCCCTTCCCTGGGCAACCTCGATGGCCCTGTGGAGGAGCTCACTGTCCACAACCTCATTTATTTCATTTGCTGCAGCTGCCCTGTGTTGTTGGAAAGGTCCTCTTGCTTACACACCCCCTTCCCACTGTCTCAGAAAGCTCCACTTTCCTGTCTAACCTTTTAACTTTCAAGTTATATTTTTTCCAATTAAAAATTTTTAATTTATCTAGGTCATAGTTCATCAGCTCGGATTGCCACATTTGCAGTAGGTATTTTGCACAACTCTCCTTTTGTTTTATCTGCTCTCTGAGACCCCACTTTCCTGTAAGCAGTAACAATATTATTTCTAAAGTCACCGGTAACCATGCTGCCTCCAGGAATTACCCTTTGTCCTCCAAATACTACACACATTATGCTTAGTACTGTACTCATAAGCAACTTTCCTTCTGAGATGGAACAGTTTATCCGAAAAACTCTGAAGTTAGCCTCTGCTTCCTTTGAGCTGAGTCTCTGGTGTTCTGCAGGACTTTGGGGGTATTTAAAATGAGCTCTGTCCCACTTTGTCTTAGGCAACATGATATCATGCTGGTGAAACAAGGGTCCTCAGTTTGGGAAACTGTTAGAACTCCTGGGGTTTTAGAGCAGTGTGGGGTCAGTCTGTAGGGGACTTTGAAGGCTAGTCTATGTGTCATGAGTTAGCTGTAGGGAAACACTGGAATGTTTAAGAAAGTTTTCTTCAGAGTATTGTAAATATATTAAAAAGAATTGTACAATAATAAGGGAGGACAAGAGAGATGATTACATGAGGGAATCTAGTTAAGAATGGGCAGTTGACCCAGCACTTGGAAGGCAGAGGCAGGCAGATCTCTGTGAGTTTGAGAGCAGTCTGGTTTACAAGAGCTAGTTCCAGGACAGGCTCTAAAGGTACACAAAGAAACCCTGTCTAGAAAAACAAACAAAAACAAAAACAAACAAAACAAAACAAAACAAAAAATGGGTAGTTGAATAATGCAGGTAAGAAACTACAAAAAGACAGAGAAGGTACGAGCAAAGGAAGGGGAAATAATCAGAACAGATGGCTCAAGGATGAGCTGGTAGGAAATTGAAGAGTGCCTATGTAGGAAGAAGTAGGAAGAGAGGAGGGGAATACAACCTCGAGACTTCAGCAAAAGTAACAACTTGAGTCCAGAACATCTTGACTCATGAGGATGAGGAAGACAACCTGTAGCTCGGACTATAATGGTCTGGTTACCAAGGTAGATATAACCTATAGGGCTAGGAATTATTAAATTGTTAACTTCAGATGGGACGATAAAGCCCCTGAAACTAAAAGCCTCATTATTCATGGTTACTGAGGAACTATCCCATGAAAACATTACCAGAAACAGTCTACTCTGTTACCTGGCTCTTGTCCAGAACACCTCCACATCCCATCTATGAGCAGCAGCAGCAGTCCTGATGTAACAAAAGCCTTCATTATGCCAGTCCTTGAGCTGGGACCTTCTCAGGCAACAGGTAGTTGAGAGGAACTGGGAAGCCTGAAGTGTTTTTATGTCTGAGGTCATACTCAGATGGATTCAATGAACCCAATTCAGAGAGTAGGAAAAAAAAAAAAAAAAAAAACAACTTCTAACAGGCTATCAACTCAAACTCCTGAGCCTTTCTTTATCATATGGGCTGGCTAGGTTTTGGTATTCTATGAATTGATTTAGGGATGCCACTGACTCTGACCAATGATGTACATTGTCATCTGTGGTTGAAGCCATTTCCCCAAGTTTTTGATACACTTTTAGTTTAACTGGTTAATTCATTAGTTAATTCCTTGGTGGTACTGGGAGCTGACTTAGCAGAGATTACTCACCATTATCAACCAGGAAGGAGAGGCCAACAGAGACCCCAATCTTGACCATTCCTAAACCAATCTTGAAAGAACCCAGTGCTCTGCAGTGATTTCATAATGTCCATGCTAGCGTGACAAATCTAAGCCTTTAATCTCTTCTTCTTTTGTAACTGAACCTTTCAAGACCCGAAAGACTTTGATGTTCCAGGCACCATGGGATCCTGGGAGAGTGGTATGTACTTCCTGCAGAGTCTGTTTACTATGAAGGCTTTAAAATTTCCTATAATAACACATGTCTTAATTTCCCATTGCTGTGATAAAACACCATGGCCAAAGAAACTCATAAAACAACAACAAAAAACATTTATTTGGGTCTTACCCAAGTAAGGTTTCAGGGGAAGAGCACATGACCATCATGGTAGTAGGGAGCTTGGCAGCAGGCAGATAGATATGGTGCTGGAGCAGTAGCTTAGAGCTCACGTCTTGAGATCCAACTATGAAGAGAGAGAGAGAGAGATAGAGAGAGAGAGAGAGAGAGAGAGAGAGCACTCAGAATGGTCTTTTGAAATATCAGAACCTGCTTTTAGTGACCACACCTCCTCTAACAAGGCCAAACCTCTTAATTCTTCTCAAACGGTTCTACCAACTGGGGACCAAGTATTCAAACATATGAACCTATGGGGGCCATTCTCATTCAAACCACCAGATCACAAAAACTTAAGTATTCTTCAGGTGTGTCGATAAAGATGTTTGTTAACTTCACCAGTAGCATTGCTTCCTCCACCCCACTACTATTTATTGTACAAGCTCAGGATGCTAGTGTTATATTTTTGATATAACCAACAATAAAAAGCACACATGGAAAATATCCTGAGAAGTCTATTAAGAAAAGTGCTTGATGACTTATCTGACAAACAATTTAATATAAATGAAAAGGATACTGTGGTATAAAAGAGGTTTTGTATGCCCCTAGAATAAAACTGTATTCAAACTTATAGCTTCCTCCTCTCAAACCTCCTATAACAATGGCATTCAGTTCTTTTCTACTTCAGAGATAGTTTGAGAGGCATCACATCTGAAAATGTCATTAAGTTTTCACAATAACTTAAAAGTTAAACTGGGTATAACAAACCTAACACTTGAGTGCTAAGTATGTTGAGACAGAGAAGGGACAGAGTCCTGTTAACCAGGTAATTTTAAGAAATCCTATGAGCCTCAGAACTCAGGAAACAGAATCAAACTCTGGGTTTCAGGCCAGCCTGATCTATGAAAGGAGGTTCCACCCCAGCTAGGACTACATAGTGAGACCGGGTCTCAACCCCCAACCCCAAACAAATCAAAACAAAACAAAACCCATGAAATGAAACAAATTGCAAGTACAAAACTTGTTAAAAACACAAACAAAAGCTGGATGTGATGGTGGGTGAATGCCTTTAATCCCAGCACTCTGGAGGCAGAGGTAGGGGTATGTCTGAGTTGGAGGCCAACTTGGTGTACAAAGCCAGTTCCAGGATAGCCAAGGCTGTTACACACAAAAACCCTGTCTCATAAAACCACAAAACAAACAACCATAAATCTAAAGATCTATTTAAAACCTTCCTTAGTGATAGGAATGTAATACTTTCTAAAATTTTCCAGGAGGTATGTATGTGTGTATGAAGTGTACATGTATATTATAGATACATATTTACTGTCTGGATATGTACTATATGTGCATGTGCACACAGAAATACATGGTAGACACAGGTTAATTTAGTTAGTTTTGTATTATTTGTATGTCTGTGTGTTCCACTGCGTTTCATTAGAGATGCCCGAAGAGTATGGGCCTGCAGGTTATTTACTTGAGAGAGGGTAGAGTGCCACTGGCAACATCACTGAAGATTATGACTTCCCTTCCTCCAGCAACCATTAATTGCTCCTCAGGGAGGGGTGGCACTTTATGAGCCTCTCTTTCACCCATGATGGTGTGTTGGAGGGCCCCTGAGGGTAGGCACTCCTACTGTGAGCTCATGGTGCAACAGCCATGTCATATCTGGAGGACATTTTACACCACCCCTCTCTGTCCCCCAAGCCCTTACATTCTTTCTAGACCTCGTGTGTGATGACCCCTGAAAGACTATATTTGTAGGGTTATTTTTACAGAGAAGATCCTTGAGTCCTGAAGAAGGTGATATAGATGCCCATTTAGGTCTGAGCTCTCCATAGTCACTTGTTCTCATCATGTTGACTAGTTGTGAGTCTCTGCATTGCCCATTGCCCACTGCAAACAGAGCTTCTCTGATGAAATGTGAGAGCACAAACATAAGTATTTATTGGCAGTTTGACAGTGTTCATGTAGTAAAATAAAAATACTCTTTTTCAAAAGCTACATATATTTTATCCACATATATACGCATGTTTTATATGGGTGTGTGTGAGTGTGTGTGTGTGTTTGTGTGTGTGTGTGTGCATGTATGTCTGTGTATTATGTTTGTGCCTGGTGTCTGTGGAAGTCACAAGAGGGTGTTGGGTTCCCTGGAGTTGAGTATGGTTGTGAGCCACCATGTAGTTGGGAATCAAACCAGGTCCTCTGGAAGAGCAACTAGTACTCTTAACTACCGAGTCATCTCTCTAGCCCCTCTTTAGTCCCTCATACTCTGATTTTTAAAAACTAAGAAGTAATACAAATTTAAGCGGAAGGAAAATTGGAGATTGCTTGAATACATCTATACAGTTTTAAGAAATGATAATGGCCAGGCAGCGGTGATGCATGCCTTTAATCCCAGCGCTTGGGAGGCAGAGGCGGGTGGATCTTTGTGAGTGTGAGGCCAGCCTTGCCTACAGATTGAGTTCCAGGACAGCCTCCAAAGCTACACCTAGAAACCCTCTCTATCTTGTGAGACAGACAGAGAGAGAGAGAGAGAGAGAGAGAGAGAGAGAGAAACAATAACAATGATAAGAAAAGGAGAAAAGTAGCTCCCAGGGTGCAAGGCCCCAGTTTTCTAAGATAATGAAATCTGGAGATGTAATATACATAACAGAGACTACAGTTGATAGCATTGTATTCTATACTGAATGATTGCCAACACACACACACACACACACACACACACACACACACACACACGGGGGTGGGGGGCGTGCACACCCTGTAACTACAGAAGGAGAAGGATTTGTCTATTTACTTGGCAATAAGTATAATAAAAAGCTCTTCAAGTTGAAATAGGTGGGTTGAAAATAGTTGAGAAATTCTTTTTCCAGTGCTGGGGACTGAACTCATGATCTTAAGATTTCTAGGCAAGTATTCTACCACTGAGCTAACCCCAACCTTAAGAAAATGGCTGGGAAAAATTAATTAGTTAATTAATTAAAAATATTACTTTCCCTCAGGTTCTTATTTGTGTAGTATAAGGGCTATTTGAAGACACATTTTTTTATAAAGGAAAAACCTAAATTAATAAAGAATAAATTATATAAATTATATAAATTATTTAAATTATATAAAAAGGGAATTGTTATGTGGTAAACAAGTGTTGCATTTTTTCTACTCTTACTTCTTTATCCCTTATTTTACAACAGATTTGCTAAGTCCTGGAGATGAAAAAAAATCACATGGACTATATAGCCTAAGAAGTTCATGGTAGAGTGACCTTATAGAACTGTTATTTATTTATTTTGGTGTGTATATTTTGTATTGAGACAGCATCTCATGTAGCCCCTGCATAATCACTCATAAATTATGAATTGCTGAGGTTCAAACTAAGAGATTTGTGTATGCTAGGCGACTGGTCTACCAGTTCAGTTACAACCCTAGTCCTCTATTAGGACAGATTATTAGTGCAACAATACATTTCAGGTAATACAGTCATGAGCTGGTGCATTCGACTTTCAGTAGCTCTGTCTTTCATGCTATATCATCATGGGATATAGTTCTGAACTGAAATAATTGATGATCCAGAGACAGAAAAGTAGGGTGAGCTTGAATCTGGGTTTTTGGGGGTGCTGGGAATGAAACTTCTGGGCCCACATAAGGTAAGTAAGTTTCCCACCATTAAGCTACATTCCCAGCACTCAAATATGCATGTAAGCTGTTTTTCACAGTGAGATTTCTAACTTATCATTTTGAGGAAGTGTTACTTTTTGTTTAAAGAAAGGGATTTAAATTTGGTATACGTTACTTTCAGGCCTTGCTACTTGAAATGTAGTTGTAGAGAATCATTGGTATCACTTGGGAGTTTATTAAGCTGTAGCATCACTGTGTCTGACACCCACTTCTGTGTTAGAATTTGTAACAAGGTACTCAGGTGATACATGTTTGCAAACAAACTTTTCCAATGAGTATCAGGACAGCATGCTCTATGAAGACAAATCCTTGTGCCCCAACAATTCTGAGGGCATCAGTATTAGGATCACTTGGGAGTTTAGAAATGTGAATTCCCTGTCCCACTCTTGTCTTGCTGAATCATAAACGAAGGATGGCTGTAATTCAGCCTTCACGTGTTAAAAAGAATACTCTGCAGGTGAATCTGATTGAGAGTTGCCCGAGTCAGAGTGAGGTCTCAAGGTGCTGGATTTCTGCATTTTGAGTGACTCAGGGCAATTGTATATTAGACAGTTACTGTTTGGGGATGGTAGGGAGTTTTAACAAAGTATATCTTAGTGTATAAGGTCACTGTATACATGATGGTACAGATTGTGATGTGAATCAGTTTTATATTCCTTCTGTATCTGCCACCTGCTGAGCTCCTGTCTCAGCAGGCATGGCTGAGAACTGTGTGGGAGTTTCAAGTGTGCTATGGGAACATTCTAGTGACAGGTTTTCTATCATGTTCACTCTAGTCCTCTAATACCTAAAGAAAGCATTACATTTGAGACAATGAGACAATGAACTTATGGTATATTAGTGTCACATGTGTGCTGTTAATGGTGCTAGTTAATTATTCCCAACTGAGGGTTTATGCCAGCATATAAGAAGTCCTCTGACTTTTCCTGTTTTTCCTTTCCTTTGTGGGGTTTGATATCCAGTCTGAGCAATGAAGTCTCTCCTGGGCCTGCAGGGGCTCCTTCTGCTTCTTTTCTTTATGAGGACTTGTGCTGATGATTGGTCAGGTATCACACGTGACTTGGGTGAATTGGAGAATTGGGATGTCTTAACGTGCTGAGGGATGAGTCCTTTAGACGGTTTCGTACAGTTGTCTCTTTCAGGTGCATGATCTTAGAATCTCACAATTCTACTGAGAATAGACACTGTCATAACTTGTGTTCTTTCTGCAGTTCCCCTTTTCTTTTGATCATTCCCAGATCACATCAATTTGGGGGTTCAATACTTGAGGTGAGTTGGATATGAAGGAAGTGGAGTGGCCTGGAAAGCACAGAAGTGTTCATGGACTGTTAAGAACTTAGGACTCTCTGGGCATGGTGGTGCATGCCTTTATTTCTGAGTTCAAGGCCAGCTTGGTATACAAATTGAGTTCCAGGACAGCCAGGACCAGACAAAGAAACCTATACTAGACAGAGAAACCTTGTCTCAAAAACCAGTAAATAAATAAATAGATAGATAGATAGATAGTTAGATAAATAAATAAAACAAAGGATCCCAGGATACCCTGTGGCATGTAGGAAAGGGCTCAGTCTTCATTAGCCTTTTCCTTTATAGAACCACAGTATCTGAGAGGGAAGACCAGCTCCTTGTGTTAATGTGACTAACTGATCCAGTTTCTTCAGTTTGAGTGCCAACAAGTCTCCTACTTTAAGCAAACTTGAATGGTTGGTCACCTAAATATAAGTGCAAACTCTTAGTTTGAAGGTTTAGAATTGCAATAAAATGTTAGGTATTTTTACCGAATTCCTTTCAACAAGATAACCCAGTTGATGCTAGGGAAGCTGCAAGACTCTTAGTGTGTTGGTTAATGTATTTTCTTTTTATTAGGAGGTATTTAAAGGAGACAGCTCTAAGAAATCATGTTAGTATTCACTACCTCATAATGCAGACTTATTAAATCCACGTTGACTTCCTTCCCTTGCTTAAATTAGGATCAGAGTGAAATTTCAGTTAGAATGGGAATTCCTGTGGGATCTCAACGCCTATCCATATGGAAGCTTACTAACCATCTATTCCTCTGCACATTTTGTAATTTTACTTTAGCTTCACAGAAGCAGAGGTATGATTTATAAGCATCTAAAGTTTTATTTATAGTTCATTCTACAGCTTTACTTTGCTCAATGTTAATTAGAGATATTTCCCCTCCCTCCACTCTGCTCAGTCCCTCTTCTTACCTTTACTCTCTCCTCTGGTTCCCTTTGGAAAATAAGGAGCTGACCTCCCAGGAATATCCACCAAACATGGCATAACAAGTTGGTTGTAGTGTTCTTGACTAGTGTGTATTGCTATATCAATTCCTCCATGTCTGCTTTTTTTTAATACCATGAGGCTGTGGATATAGAAATGAAAACAAGGGCTAGTGTAGAGGAGCATGAGTTGATCAAGAGTGCAGCCATGCTTTGTACTTCACATTGTATTATACAGAAATGCATTCTTGGGTTCCAACAGTATAGAATCTTGACTTTGAGGATGAGCGTGGTAGTGCACACCTTTAATCTCAGCATTTGGGAGGCAGAGGTAGGTGAATCTGAGCTCAAGGCTAGCTTGGTCTACATAGAGAGTTCCAGGCCATCCAGAGCTATGTAGTGAGACTTGTCCCAAGAAAAATATTGACTTCTGAGAATGGAATTAAAGGATTAAAAATGTTTGAATCTGTATTGCTCTTTCCCCTGACAGACTTGCTAAAATATCTTTGGCAGATAGGAGTGTATATGAGTATCTTAGGGATGAAATAATAGCAGATGCCATCTTTACAGACTTTTCTGTACAACATGTTTTATTTTGTTAAGGGATGAACACTTGCATTAACTATCTTTGCTCAAATGTTCTGTGATGATTCACATATGGCCTATTAACAGAAATATTTTCCTTTCTATTTCTTAGCCATTCGTCTGCAATGCACCAATCATTGGTTCTATCTCAGGATTAAGGCCACGATATTCCCCAATATATTTATGGAACCTGATGAAGTGTTCTTAGGAATTGGCTGCCCTGTGACCAACTACTGGCCAAATGATATCTACGACTTTACCTACCGTACTTATGCCTGTGGGATTGTCAATAAAGTAAGAAGGAAGGCTAGTGGCTGTGGTCCCTTCCTTGGACCCACAAAATAGAAATCATAGTTTCTATTTGTCATATAGCTGGGTTTATATCTTTAAAAGTCACATCTAGTAAAAATGATGTTAACTTGCTGATGGGAAGAGATCTGTTTTCTATATATCACAAAGTAGTTTTCAAAACTAGTTGCACATTACAGCCGGCGACATTTGGCTAGCCTCAGGTGGAAGGGAGTAACATTGGTTAGACATCACAAAGGCTGGGGTCATCTGCAGGTTAGTTATGCATGTTGCTGTCTAACGTTAACTGGCATTTTGAGTTGATGAAAAAAGTAACAATTGGAAACTTTGCTGTAACATAACTTACTAAGAGACATCTCACAACTTTGACAAGTTGAGATGATAGATTTGGTGACACAGGAAGAAAATTTCAGATAAAATTGTGCATGCAGGAAACGTGTTTATTCAGTGCCCTTGGGAGAATCATTACTGTGTGAAAAGAACTGGGCTGTGGTGAACTCAGACAGCTGTGGGTGACCCTGCAGACTACATTCCAGCCAGATAATTACTTAGAACTGGAACTTCATCAGGGTGCCTTTCCTTTCCTTTCCTTTCCTTTCCTTTCCTTTCCTTTCCTTTCCTTTCCTTTCCTTTCCTTCTTTCCTTTCCCTTCCTTTCCCTTCCTTCCCTTCCTTCCTTCCTTCGTTCGTTCATTCATTCGTTCGTTCGTTCCTTCCTTCCTTCTTTCTTTCTTTCATTATTTCTTTCTTCTCCTCAGTTTATTTATTTTTTTTGAAGAAACGTCACAGAGACTGTAGTTATATCTATGTATCTCAGTTGATAACATACATATATAGCATGTACAAGGCTTTGTGTTTGGTCCCTAATGCCACAGAAACTTGGATTGGTGGAGCACACCTGTAACCCTAGCACTGGAGAGACAGAGGCAGGAGGATCAAGAATTCAAGGCCATCCTGGCTACCTAAAGAGTTCAAGGACAACATAGATTATGTGAGACCCAGTCTCAAAACAAATGAAATTCTCAGAAGTCTGAATTCAAAATAGTTTCAGTGGATCTGAAAACTGCTGTTCCCAAAATAAGCAACACTTTATCTTCTCCTGTATTTCTGGAAAGGAGGTATAAGCATGTGATTTTATAAAGAACGAATAGAAGATATGATTTCAATAAACAAATATTATCTGACTTTTACATCCAAGTCCTGTACCAGATTGAACCTATTTCTTCATGTAAAAGATTGTCCTTCTCATAAGTATTGTTTAAGGAAATAACCTTTTCTTTTGGAGGACTCAAAGTACCTATAAGCTCTTTCTCAAATCCCTGAAGTCTGAGATCTGTGAAATAAACACAGATTTTAAATATTTATCTGCCCCTGTAGGTTATTTATGATGTCACTCTGCTTCAGACTAAACTTACATATATCTCAAAAAATGGTTCTTTACGAGCTCAGATGCCTCTGTCCTGTGTTCTGCATAGGTGAGTATCATATGTGGGGCATCTTTCCAAGGCCCCAGCTTCACCTCAACCTTCTAGATAAAAGATCCAAGTCCTAGATGTTAAATCTCACAACCCAGGGTGAGGGTGGGTATGGTGGTGGTGGGAAACCAAAGCCTAATGGGAATATAAATTTCTTTGTCCTTGGTCCCAAGTCTTCAAAATTACTATTGTCTCCTAGAGTGTTAGAATGCTGGAAAAAGATGAATCTACCTTTCTAATACTAATGTCAGGATGGCTGGAACCCTCACAGGTCTCACCCAGCTAATCAAAGCAGGCTTCTTTAAAAATAAATCCATATTCAAGTTTACTGAGGACAGAAAGGAAAAAAAGCCTGAAAGATACAGAAATATATCAGAAAAATCAAGGTCAGCAAGCAGCATGGGTGGGTGGATGGGGCTGAAGACATAGGGAGAAGGAACAGATTTAAATCTGACCCATGAGGTGAGATTCATTCAGTTTCCTTTTTCTCTTATTAATGACCCATTTGAGAAAGCCCAAGGCCTAGCTCATTAGCAACTTTGATCAGGGCTTAGCAAATTTCTGATAAGCTTGCAGGGTCTACCCATTACCCTCAATTTCCCCTTCTGCGAATGTCCTTTATTTACCCAAATAATACTTCTACACTCAATGTCCTATGTCTATGACTCAGGATCCACATATGAGAGAATTCAATATTTTTATTTTGAAACAAATGTATTTTTGCTTCAAGTAATTATTGAAGCCATATTATGTGTCCCTTCACACAAAGAGTAATACATACCGTAGCAGCTAACATTTGAATGTAACATTTTAATTCTTTGATAATTGCATACAATGTATTTATAAAATATTCATCCCCACTCATATTCTATCTCCTCCCCCTCTTTACCCATCCCCTAACGTTGTGTTCTTTTTAAATAAAGAAAAATAACTCATAGACTCCAATTTGTGCTGTTCATATACTCATGGGTATGTGGTTATCCATTGGAGTATGATTAACCTACTAGGAGTCAAACCCTTAAATACCTGACTCTGCCTCTCTCAGATGCCATCAACTGTCCATGGATCCTCAATTAATGGTAAAGGCTCACAAATTTCTATTCCATGACACCATATGACTTGGCTTGATCTTATGCAGCTCTGGTTAAAGTAACCACAGGTACTGTGAACTCATGAGTGCAGAGGTCTTGTCATTTTTAGAGACACTCTGTCTGGTCCTCCCTAACCTTTGGCTCTTACCATCTTTCCACACCCTCTTCCTTTGTAGTCTTACATACATGTGTGTATGATGGTGGTATAAATGACTCATTTGTGGCTGGTCATTCTACCGATGCTTGTTTTCTGCATTTGATCAGTTGTGAATTTCTGTGTTAACCACTGTCCACTACAACTAAGATTTTATAATCACATATCATAAATTTATGTTGTATCAGTGCATCTCCTAGTCACTGGAATTTGACCTTGAGTGCAGCCTTCTAAACTCTAAGGTCTTCAGCCCCTGTGATATTTCCTTTTTTTCCTTCCCCACTTTTAGTCGGTATCCTCTTTTATGTGAAGCTGAAATTGGAGGAGATTTCACTGGCAATCCTCCTGAATGGGTATTAGATATGAGAATACACAGAAACAAGCAAGCTGCTCCTGCAGTGCCACCAAAGTAAGGAGACACCAAATTAATGTTTTGCAGCTTTTGTTAGGCATGACTTAAATATGCCAAGAAAACAGCTAAGGGCATGTCCTGTTTGATTAAAGAACAGTGTCTAGATCAGGCCTCTCTGTTTATTAAAATTGTTAGTGGTGATAGTAGTCTTGCTAGTCTTTTACTAGTCAGAGATGCCATAGGAATTAGAGGTATCCCTCTTGGGTCTTGTGATAGCTGGTCTTACTTGAAGACTGGGATCTGGGAGACATGCCTCTGGGTGAGTCTGTAAGGGTGTTTCCAGAAAAGATTAACCGAGTGAGGTAGTCCTGGTCCTCAAAGTGGGTGGAACCTATGTTGAGACCTACCAATTGGTGGTTTAAGGAAGAAGCAGTGTCACCTGGATATCCTTCTTCCTGACACATATTTACAGCTGTCACCACTGTCCTCTGATTACATCATATTCTATCTCTTCAGCTTTTCAACATCAAGTGAAGACCACCAGGTCTCCCATGAGCCCCAGACCTCTGTCACCAGCAAACTGGAACCTGTTGAAGTATGTAGCTTCATGGATCAGAAGTTGTCATTTCTTCATTTCTCAGGAGTGCAGATGATTGGATGATGATTTCTCTCATCCATTTTTTTTTTAAAATGTGACTAATTTGCAATTTTAAATAAAATGTCAGTAACCTTCATAGTCTCATTTTAAAAAAAAGGTTTTAGTTGTATCAAATCTGATTAATGAATAAAAATCTTTCATTAATGCTGCTTCTGTTTGTTTTTTTGAAGGACTAATATGCATCATATTAAGAACAATACCCCCCCGAACTTAGAGGGAGGAGGGAGGAGGGAGGGCCTAGTCCCTACTTCAAATGACTTGACAGATTTTGTTGATCCCTCCTGGAAGGCTTCACCCTCCCTGTGGAGTGGGCGGCGGGGGAATTAGATAGGAGGGTGGTCGGGGAGGGGGGGCATGGAAGGGAAGGTGGGAGGGAGAGGGAACTGGGATCGATATGTAAAATAAGAAAAACAAACAAAACCAAAACCAAAAACAAAAAACAACACTCATAGTTAATTTTTTTCTCCAAAGTTTTTTTTTACTATAATTTATTTTTTGAGAATTCAATATATGTATACAATGTATTTATTATTATTCAGCACCCCATTATTTCCCTTAGCTCTTCCAAGATCCACCCTCCAACTTACCTACCGATTCCCAACTTCCCCTTAAAAAAAAAATAAAAAGAAAACAACCCCCCAAACTAGCAAGTCTAATTAGTGCTGCCCACATACTAAGGTGTGGGGCCTTCTATTGGAGCCTGATTGGCATTCCAGGTGCTATACTCTTAAAACCTGACTCCGCCCCCTCTTCCCCCCAAGGAATGATCAGCAGTCAGTAGCTCCTCAGTTAGGGGTGGAGGTTCCAGTGCCCCTCTCCTCTCCATGCTGGAATACTGACTGATTTGATGTTGTTCAGGTTTAATGCAGGTGTGGACTGTCCATGAGTACAAAACTCCTGTCATGTCCAGAAGACACTGTTTCTTCCTAGTCCTCTCTGACCACTGTACACAGAGAGGACATCAGTGACTGACGTTGGACCCAAGTTAAGTACATCTTTCCTTCACCTTCTCTGCAGTTATTGCATGTTACTTAAGTGGTGTAGGAACAGTGACCAGACAGTAATGGTGGAGTAGAATGGTGGCTGGACTCCAATATCAACCCCTTCGTAGTTCTATATTTTGGTAAAGTACTCACATGGTTCAAATGTGCATTAAAGTTCAATAAAATTGAATAGAAAAAAATTAAATTCACACCAAATGGAAAACTCAAATACTTTGTTGCTATAAATCAGTAGTTTCCAACCTTCCTACTGCCGTGGCCCTTTAGTACAATTCCTCATGTTGTGGTGACCCCCAACCATACAATTATTTTTGTTACTAATTCATAACTGTAATTTTGCTACTGTTACGAATTATAATGTGAATATCTGTGTTCTCCAATGGTCTTAGGTGACCCCTGTGAAAGGGTCATTTGATCTCCAAAGAGGCTGTGACCCACAAGTTGAAATCTGCTTCTACAAATGTTTGCTGATATATTTATGAAGAAAGACATTGATTGGTTCAGAAAAGTCATGGCATGAACTACACATTATATGTCAGGCTTATTGTAGTTATGAATTAAGAATTTTTCTCCTAGAGAGAAGTCCTAGTCCCTACTTCAAATGACTTGACAGATTTAGATGACCCCTCCTGGATGGCATCACCCTACATGTTGAGTGGGGGAGGGATGGAAGGGGAGGGTGGTCGGGGTGCATGTGAGGTGGGGGAGAGAGGGAAAGAGGGAGGGAGGGAGAGAGAGGGAACTGGGATCGATATGTAAAATAAAAATAGAAAATTAAAAAATAAAAAGATTTTTTCTCCTAGGGAACTAGGAGAAAGAGAAGAGGAGGAGAGGAAAGCACATGGGACTAGGAAGATTGAATCAAGGGAGGAATATATGAGAGGAGAGAGAGAGAGAGAGAGAGAGAGAGAGAGAGAGAGAGAGAGAGAGAGAGAAAGAGAGAGAGACCATAAAAGAGGGAGCCATTATTGGTTTGAAGAGAAAACTGAACCTAAAGAAAGGTCTAGAGACCTACAAGACTGACTCCAACTAACGATTTGAGCAACCGTGGAAAGGCTACCATAAATGCCCTTCCCTGATAGTGAGATCAACAACTAACTTATCCACCATCATGGAGCCCTCATCTAGTACCTGTTTGAAACAGAAGCAAACACCCACAACTAAACACTGAGCCGAGCTGGAATCCAGATGCAGAGAGGGAGGAGGACAAGACCAGGCTGCAGAAACACACAGAGACAGCTGACTCAAACAAGGAGGAGCTAATGGGACCCCCAGACTGATAGCTGGGAATGAAGCATGGGACTGACTCAGACCCCCTGAATATGAGTCTCAGCTAGAAGACCTGACCAGTCTAAGGGACCTCAGACAGTGGAACCAGGATTTATTCCCGGTGCACAAAAAGATTTTGGGGGCACATCCCCCATGGAGGGATACTCACTTAACCTAGAGACAGGAGAGAAGACCTAGTCCTTACTCCAAAAGACTTGACAGATTTAGATGACTCCTCCTGGAGGGCATCACCCTACATGTGGAGTCAGGGTGGGTGGGAGGGGAGGGTGGTTGGGGTGCATAAGTGGGTGGGGGAGAGGGAAAGAGGGAGGGAGAGAAGGAAAGAGGGAGGGAGAGAAGGAAAGAGGGAGGGAGAGAGGGAAAGAGGGAGGGAGAGGGAACTGGGATCGATATGTGAAATAAAATAAAAAGTAAATTAATAAAAATAAAAAAGAACTTTTTCATTTAGAAATTAATGGGATATGTATGCTCTTTAAAAATATGTGTACCTTTATGTTGGTATGTACATATGAATGTGTTTGATAACAGAAGCTAGAAAATTGTGTTGGATTCTCTGGAGATGGATTTATAAGGGGCTCTGAGCCACTTGATGTGAGTATTGGGAGATAACTTCAGCATCACTAAAATGACAAAAATTAAAAACAAACAAAAACAAACCAAGGATTTTTTTAAAAACAGAAATGAAGACATTAGGACCTTTGTCTACTGCTTGTGGAATTATGAAGCAGTTCAGTCACCATGGAAAAATTTGGAGGTTCCACACAGTTTGTGAGCTGTCTAATGTCTGGTGAAATAGGAAGGCTGTATAATGGTCCATTTCTGCATTTCCTTCTGTACTCTTCTCCTCCAAACAAGGTGCCTGAGCCAAACAACCCTTTTTTTTTTTATCTCTGAATGGTGGAATTCAGCTCCCTGGCAGCCAGCAGAATCACTCAGACAAGATGATCATATCTTCTTGTAGGAACCAGGGATCACCTATCTTCTTGGTTCTGAAAGGATTGTGTCCCATGGCTCCTGTTCTTGAGTGCAACTCCTGCAGTCCCCTCTGTGGCTGTTTTATTCTCTCCACGTGGGCTGTGAATGGGTTTACTAATGAGATGCTGACAATCCAGTCTCTTTAGCTTTGGATGTTACAGTGGGGTGAATAGGAGTAAGTAAAACACAGGTCAGCCTGAGCAACATTATGAACATCAACAAAACAAAACATTCCCCCACCAAAAGCTAAACCTCTCAAACCAACCAAACAACCAGCCCCAACACCTCCAAACATAAGCTATATCCTCCCCAAACACCGAAAACAGTTGTATTATATAAAAAGACTCAGAACACTCTTCACCAAGATGAAAACTCCCCACAATATATATTGTTGTTTGGATGAACAAACATGCTTATCAATACAATGAAACATTCAACCACAAAATGAAGTGTTATACTATTATGCTACAATGTGAATGAACCTTGATAAATATACTAAATAGAAGAATGCATATATGAAAGCCACAGTCGTGAGAAAATGAATACTATTAATTTTGTAGAATATGCAATATATCTTGTTGCAAGAAACCTTGAAGATTTTGATGTTCAAAGATGAAAAAGATTCACTTGTTCTTTTTTTAATCAGTTCATTGCAATCATAAATATTTGGTTATATAGTTAAATTTGGCAACATTCACTAAAAGATGTCCTGCCCTTATAAACAGAGGCAAGATAAGATATGCTATGTCTTTTCTAGTGATGAATTATCAGCTTTTACCCATTGACAAGGAGATTTTCAGAGACTTCCAAAAATTTTCAGAGATTTCCAAATAAATTTTCAGAGGCTTTCAAAAATTGGAACCAGGTGACACTGATATTTATGCCAATTATTTTAGCTGTTTTTTATTATCAGCTTTAATTGTTCAAAAATATCCTTAGAGGACTTTCCTTCAGTACTCCTGACATGCACACCTCCATAATGAAATAAATTTGGCAAGCAGAATTTCCCTAGACTTTCAGATTATAGTTGTGTGTTTGTATTCCTGAAACAGAATCTGCTGGGGCTCATTCCAAACACTGGATGTGCATCTTGGTTTACTGTGTCTGAGTGACTTATTAGGAGATGGAGAGTTCCCTAGAGTGGAACACAACACCCTGTGTCTCCAACCAACTCATAATTCTCTTACAATGTCATTTTGCATTTCTCAAATCATCTCCCAGAGTCTCTCTTAATGTTAGAAGAAACATATCAAATATCACACAAGACAACAATTTCAAATATATGTACATCTTTTGGGAGGATGCCATGGAGCAGAGTCTAGAACCACTCTTCAGTTTTTCTCTCCTGATTTTTTAATTTATAATTTCAGCTGGGACTCCCGAGCTTTCTAGAATGATGATTCATTGCCTACAGCTGAGGAGACAAGAGGCTTATAGACACCTGCAGAGGCTCACTCACCTTGACATCCTGTTTCCTGTAAGCCCTTGGGTCAAGTTTTGCAGCCATGGTGAAGGTTTCTGCCGTGTTGGGAGGACTCCTTGTGTTTTTTGCATCAACTCACGGTTTTCTTAACAGTAAGAAAAAGATGCAATTCTAGAGGTCATAGGTAAAGAAAGGGAGATGTCACTTTTTTAAGCATGCTACTGAATTTGGGGTTATGTAAAAATAATCTGGTGATCCACAACTAATAATTAATGACTGTAATGAGGTATGGTTTTATATATATCTATCTTCTC